GCGGTAGTCTGCTAATCTGGGGAACCGGGTTCGCGTCTCCGCTCCTCCACCTGCAGCTGCTGGGTGACCTTGGGCTAGTCACACTTCTCTGAAGTCTCTCAGCCCCACTCACCTCACAGAGTGTTGGTTGTGGGGGAGGAAGGGAAAGGAGAATGCTAGCCGCTTTGAGACTCCTTAAAGGGAGTGAAAGGCGGGATATCAAATCCAAACTCCTCCTCCTCCTCCTCCTCCTCCTCCTCTTCTTCTTCTTCTTCTTCTTCTTCTTCTTCTTCTTCTTCTTGTGTTTTCGTGTTGTAAGCTGCCCTGTGATCCTCGGATGAAGGGCAGTATAAAAAATTAAATGAAATAAATAGATAAATGAACAAGTCACTGGGTGACCCCACTGGGTTTTAGTATTGCGGTAGAGGGAGTATCAACAAGAACAACAACTCAGCAGTGATGGAGCCAGATGGGGCCAGATGGGGCCACCACCAAGAAAGCCTTGTTCCCAGTACCTGGTTCGATTCCTGACAAGTCCAGGTAGAGCTGGAAAAGAAGAACTCTTTTTGTCAGGCTTTTTCTCAACCTTGCGTCCCCAGACATTGTTGAACTACAAATCCCATCATCCCTGACTACTGGTCCTGCTAGCTAGGGGTGATGGGAGTTGGTAGTCTAACAACATCTGGTGACCAAAGTTTGAGAATGGCTGGACTGGAAGGAAAACAGAAGAAGGGATTCAGGAAATGGGTAGGGGGGAATGTTCAAGTCAAGCATTTAGCCCATTGGGACTGGTAGGACGGAAAGCAAGGAGGTCAACAGTAGGTGGCGCCAGAGGCAATACAGGCAGGTCCAACTAATTCTGGTCCTTCTCCCTGCTGAGTCTTACAAGGGCAACACGGAGATGGAGGAGGAGGAATATGACGGGCAGTGCCACCCTTGGGTCTGGTGGTTGTAAGTGAGAAGGCGGGCTGGCGATCGCTGCTGAATGACAGATTTGAGCCTGGTGGGTCACTGCCCCATTTGCCCAAAGAGAGCAAATCTAGTTTGCCCCTCACAATTCCTAGCAGCCCTTAACAAACTCCAGTGCCCCTAATTCTTTGAATTCTGCATCCTATGTGCTTTAAAGGTACAGGAGCTTCCAGATGGCCTGTTTACTGAGCATTCATCTGGATTTGTTTTTCAGGGGGATTACACAGGATTGGCGATTTAATATGCCTTCGCTTGGATTTTTTTGCATTCAGATGACGTAGCGGTGGTCTAATGACCATCCGCTTGGAATTGTTTGTGGGGAGGCTAGACAGCGGTGCATCAAAACCAGTGTTGTCAGACATTTTCCAGCTAACTTCCCTGTCACCTGTTGCAAAAACAATCCCAGCCTGTTCTGCTCACCCCCAAGAGAAGAGAGTTAAGAACATAAGAAGAACCTTCTGGAACAAGTCAGTGGCCCATTTGGTCCAGAATCCTGTTTTCACGGTGGCCAACCAGATGCCCATTATGGGAAACCCACACGAAGAATTCGAACACAAGACTCCTCTCCCCTCCTGCAGTTTCCAGTAACTGGGATTCAGAAGCCTTGCTGCATCAGACTTCTCAAAAGACTTCTCCACGAATTTGTCCAATTCTTTTTTAAAGCTGTAATAAATGTAAATCTGCCCTGATTCCCTTATGGGGGGACACAAGAGCCCTATACGGACCTTTGTTGGCAAGGTGATGTCTCTGCTTTTTAAGATGCTGTCTAGGTTTGTCATTGCTTTTCTCCCAAGAAGCAGGCGTCTTCTAATGTCGTGACTGCTGTCACCATCTGCAGTGATCATGGAGCCCAAGAAAGTAAAATCTCTCACTGCCTCCATTTCTTCCCACCCCAAATCTGTAACAATATGATGCATCCTGGGCAGGGATATGGTAAGGCTCTATCAGAGGGACAAGATGGACCAGCATGGCTTCTCCCCTGGTTCTGCTGAGAGACCAGCTCTGCCAAGGCTCTCCTTCCATCACCTGCAGCGGAGAAAGTGAAATACAACAGGGCCACTCCATCTGCTCAGCTTGGACACCAAGACAGTTTCATCCCTCCTCTGTTTTATAATAATAATAATAATAATAATAATAATAATAATAATAATTTATTATTTATACCCCGCCCATCTGGCTGGGCCTCCCCAGCCACTCTGGGCGGCTTCCATAAAAACCAAAAATACAATAAAATATCACATGTTAAAAACTTCCCTGAACAGGGCTGCCTTAAGATGTCTCTTGAATGTCAGGTAGTTATTTATCACTTTGACATCTGCTGGAAGGGTGTTCCACAGGGTGGGCGCCACTACCGAGAAGGCCCTCTGCCTGATTCCCTGTAGCTTTGCTTCTCGCAATGAGGGAACCGCCAGAAGGCCCTCGGCGCTGGACCTCAGCGTCCGGGCAGAATGATGGGGGTGGAGACGCTCCTTCAGGTATACTGGACCGAGGCCGTTTAGGGCTTTAAAGGTCAGCACCAACACTTTGAATTGTGCTCGGAAACGTACTGGGAGCCAATGCAAGTCTTTCAAGACCGGTGTTATATGGTCTCGGCGGCCGCTCCCAGTCACCAGTCTAGCTGCCGCATTCTGGATTAGTTGTAGTTTCCGAGTCACCTTCAAAGGTAGCCCCACGTAGAGTGCATTGCAGTAGTCCAAGCGGGAGATAACCAGAGCATGTACCACTCTGGCGAGACAGTCCGCAGGCAGATAGGGTCTCAGCCTACGTACCAGATGGAGCTGGTAAACAGCTGCCCTGGACACGGATTTGACCTGTGCCTCCATGGACAGCTGTGAGTCCAAAATGACTCCCAGGCTGCGCACCTGGTCCTTCAGGGGCACAGTTACCCCATTCAGGACCAGGGAATCCTCCACACCTGCCCGCCTCCTGTCCCCCAAAAACAGTACTTCTGTCTTGTCAGGATTCAACCTCAATCTGTTAGCCGCCATCCATCCTCCAACCGCCTCCAGACACTCACACAGGACCTTCACCGCCTTCACTGGTTCTGATTTAAAAGAGAGGTAGAGCTGTTTTCCATTCCAGCTGGTGTTTTACAAGAACTTTGTCACAAGGAACCAGTTTGCATTTTTCCTACTTCCTCCCAGGCCCTTTTCCTTTTGTGCCATGTCTCTGTCAGGAGTTCAGCCTACACTCAAGTAGGACCCTGGCAGAGACACATGCTCGACTGGCATGTTCTCTCCCTCCTGGTCGATCGTTCGGGAGCTTCAAAAGCTTTTCTTCTGCCCGAACATCACAGCGACCGATGCCAACCGACACCGGCACACTTAGGGATTCGCAGAGTTTGCGCATCATGCAAAACCCTAGCAACTCAGCATTTTGGCTAATCTACTTTATTTACATATAAACCCACACGGAGCACTGCAACACGGCTCCCTCTCTCTCTGGCATCAGACAGCAAAGAGAAAAAGAACAAAGGACAACAGTCCCACTTCACGGAACACAGTAACACAAACATCTTGTCTTCGTCACTTCCCACTCTGTGGAGTCAAAACATGCACCGTCATGTGAAAGACAACAAACCCATGACTGCAGTCATGGAGTAGGAATTCTAACAGTCTCAGCCTGTGGGAAAGGAGGTATTTGGGTTGTTGTTTTTTTCTCTTTACCAATTGTATGCAAACCTTTATATGGGAACCATTTCAGAGCGGGATAAAACGTTTTATATAAGCACTTGAATAACATTCGGGGGTAGGGTGGGGAGGTAGAATGCTATAGCAAGTAGACTGTATTGGTCACCCCAAAATTAGTTGCAGAGAGAAGAAACACCAAGGTGCACCTATTTCAGCAAAACCGGACGTCTTCATCTGCCCCACCTGCAGTAAACCCCATCTCTCCCATATCAGTTTCTACAGCCACAGCAGGTGCTGTGACTCTCCCGCAGTTTGACGTTTCCCCCAAAGAAGCACTCTCCCATTGCCTCCCAAGACAGTCAGATGCCAACAACGAGTTCTAATGTTGTTTTATTTCTGGTGGCTTGAGGAAGGGGCCAGAGAAATCTTCTTTATTTCTTTATTAGCGTTTCGAAACCACTTGGCATTTAAAAACATCTAAGCCAGATACAAAAGCAACATGCAAAAACCAAAAACAGCATCATAAAAGCAGGTACACAACATGGAAACCAGTAAAAGCAGTCTTATAAAAACAAGCTTTAAAAAGGAACTTGGTATTAACAGGGCAAAGGTTAAGGGCATTCACGGCACAGGAGCAGTGGTGGAAAATGCCAATTTGTCAGGCTACCCCACACTGTGATATTCTGTAGGGCGTGGTGCCACCAGTAGAATTTCCCCAGTGGTTTCCAAAAAGTGTTGTGGGATTACTGGAGATGGGTGCTAAGAGGGAAGGGGGCAGGTGGAGGTGAGTGGCTTCCATTTCCTAGCAAGAGATGAGCTAGCCAAGGGGAACCTCTCCTGCCTTGGTAAGATCAATCTGTTATGCTGTGCCAAAGCCGGTTCTACTGTTAGGCAGTGTTAGGCAACTGCCTTAGGCAGCAGCTGCTGAAGGATGACAATTGTGGGATAACCAGTCTCAGGCATCCAACATGAAGGGGTTAATACCATAGAGTAAGCTGTCCAGCCAGGCTTAGCTAAGTCCTCTCTCCCTCACCTTGGGAGGAACTAGGAAATCAAGCCTCTGTTCACCCCCAGACTGCATGTGAACTTTGGAGTGTCAGGAGCTCTGAGCTGCTCCTTCCAACCACATGGCTTTAACAAGCCTCTCTTGAGTTCCTATAATACCAATAATCTAGGAACTTTTACCACTTTCCAACTAAGCTAAGTTTCACTGCCTGTGCAAATTTGCTAAAGCCCATGAACCCGACCTTTGAAAAGTTTGTAAGTAAACCAATGTTTAACTGACGAAATGTGTGCTCTTTTACCTATGCTAGGGGAAAAGGGAAACTTTTTAACTGTTAAAAGGGACATTTTTTGGAACTCACTTGAAAGGTCTAACAGCCTTGTTTTTGTGGCTTTAAACTCTGCTCCGGTTCTTGCCCCAAATTTGGATCTTGGCATCTAGGAATTCTCCCATTATATATATTAAGAAATTAAGAAAGTCTAGGATTTTGATTATTTGGGGTATTGAAGGGAAGATTACAGGCCAGTGGAAAAATACAAGCTAAGCTTCCTTTCCAAGCCACGGCCTCACCTGGGACAGAGGCATTAACAGGACAAAGGGTGGTCTTTGACCATAATAAATTATGATGATGGTGGACAAAGGGTGTTGATCTTGGGCCTGGAGAGACAGAAGGTTGCCAGGATAACTGGCTGTGAAGTGTCAGGAAAAGAGAGTCTTTAGAGCAAGGTGTGCTGGGAAGAAGAGAGAGAGAAAGAAGAGATCCATCTTGGGCAGGCTGGCTGAAGGCTGTCTGGGAAAGATGCTTTTGACTCAAGTGTTGCAATGCCGTTGGGGACAAACCCCTCTTGAAATGTCCATGCTGCTGTAAGATCTGGACTCCCTCCAGGCAGACTGAATGTGTCCATATGTGAATAAACCATATTTCTTAAAGCTACGGCAGTCTCCGTCGTGTCTTCAATTCTCCAAAGGAGCACAGACCCCGGGCGAGTGCCTGGAACGCCCTGGGATCTTGCTATCGCTCAGCAGAGGGTGGGGTTGGTACCCAGCTTCTATAACAATATTTTTCTTTTGCACCAAGAGGTGGAGGACAGGGCTGTGCATGAAACGGGCTCTGTTCTGCATTTCCTTAAGCTATTCTGCTCTGCTCAGGTGGGGCAGAAGGTAGCATCCCAGTATCTGAAGGAAGATGCAACTTTCAGTCCTGCTGGCTTTTAGACGTGGAACTGGAGGGGGAGGTCATCTTGTCCTCTGGCTTCAGGCAGCAAAATGTTTTCGGCTGGCTCTGCACTGTCCCATCTCTGCCCAAACCTGACTTCCCCAGGAAAGGCCCAATGTCCCCACATTGTCCTTGATCACTGCCTCAAATGACTCCTGAGCGTGCAAGGTGAGCATCTTGGGAAAAACCCTGAGGCAGGAACAGGGGGCAGCTGACTTTCTTCTTCCTTCTGGGTGCCCCTCATGGCTATACAGCAGCCTGGGGCTCGTGGACCAGGTCAGTGGCGATGAACATGTGTCCCTGCAGAGGGTGGAAAAACCAATAATGCTAATGCTAATGCTAATGCTAATAATAATAATAATATTTATTTATACCCCGCCCTCCCCGGCCAGAGCCGGGCTCAGGGCGGCTAACATCAATAAAATTTCAGTAAAAACATAATAAGGAAAAAAAAGAAAAATGAAAAAAAAAACTATTTAAAATACAGTGGTACCTCGGGTTTCATACGCTTCAGGTTACAGACTCCGCTAACCCAGAAATAGTATCTTGGGTTAAGAACTTTGCTTCAGGATGAGAAAAGAAATTGTGCTCCAGCGGCACAGTGGCAGCAGGAGGTATTACTGTACAGTGGTACCCAAGTCTTTCTGCAAACTTCCATAAATAAAGCATTATATATACAGTCGTACCTTGTTTTGCGGCCAGGATCCGTTCCGGAGCCCTGGCCGCTAGCCAAAAAGGACACAGGGCAAAGCGCCATGTCTACCCATGCGCTCAGAGCGGTTTGTGCTTCTGCACATGTGCGAAGCATGATTTAGTGCTTCTGTGCATGTGTGAAGTGCAATTTAGTGCGTCTGCGCATGCGCAAGCGGCAAACTTGGAAGTAACCCATTCCAGTACTTCTGGGTTTGCCGCAGACGTTTGCTGGAATGGACGCTAGACAAGGTGGACGTTCGTGTAGGTATTACTGTATGCCACCTTTGGGCATTTATATTCCACTTTTTATGCAAGGAGGTCAAGGTGCCATTCATGGTTCTCTCCCCCCCCACCTCATTTAATCCCCACAACAGACCTGTGAGGTAGGTTAGACTGAGAGGCAGTGACCGGCCCAAGGTCATCCCCAGTGAGAGCTTCATAGCTGTGTGGGGATTTGAACCCTGCTCTCTCAGGGTCACGGGTGGCGCTGTGGGTTAAACCACAGAGCCTAGGGCTTGCCGATCAGAAGGTTGGCAGTTTGAATCCCTGCAATGGGGTGAGCTCCCATTGCTGGGTCCCTGCTCCTGCGAACCTAGCAGTTCGAAAGCCCGTCAAAGTGCAAGTAGATAAATAGGTACCGCTCTGGCGGGAAGGTAAATGGCGTTTCCATGCGCTTAGTCATGCTGGCCACATGACCCGGAAGCTGTATGCCGGCTCCCTCGGCCAATAAAGCGAGATGAGCGCTGCAACCCCAGAGTCGGCCACGACTGGACCTAATGGTCAGGGGTCCCTTTACCTTTACCTCTCAGGTCTTAGTCCAACACTCTAACCACTGCGCCACACTGCCTCAGTTTATTCCAAAGAGCGCAATACTTCGGCAAGGGCTGTATCCTTACCCATTGTTTGTGAGGGCTGTGTGGATTCACCTTTTCAGGGAAGAAAGACATTTGCAAAATTCTCTGTTCCAGCTTTCCTCAACCAGTACAGCCATCCAGATGTTTGGGCTGAAACTCCCACCAGCCCCAGTGAGCACAGCTGAAGCTACTGGGAGTTGTAGTTGGAGAAAACTACTCTATTCCTTTATCACTTTCGCTACCAACTCTTCCTAAAAGGCCCTCAGGCGTCCTCAAAGTGCATCTCAAATAATAATAATAATAATAATAATAATAATAATAATAATAATAATAATAATTTATTTATACCCGCACATCTGCCTGGGTTTCCCAAGCCACTCTGAGTGGCTCCCAACAGAATATTGAAAACACAATAAATACATCAAACATTTAAAAACTTCCCTGAACAGGGCTGCCTTCAGATGTCTTCTAAAAGTCAGGTAGTTGTTTATTTCCTTGACATCTGGTGGGAGGGCATTCCACAGGGCGGGTGCCACTACTGAGAAGGCCCTCTGCCTTGTCATATCTTGCTTTCTCCTCACAGAAGGCATCGCCTTGTGTTGGCATCTGACCTTGGCATGCGACTGGGCCTTGTCTTGTCCAATCTCTCTTGGGTTCCATTTTGGATCCCGGGCGCCATCTTAGCTCCTGAATGATGCCATCAAAACTCATGCTTCCTAACTGACCTTAATCACCCAGAAACATGACCTGGTCTGAGCATGACCAAAGGGAACCATCAAAGCTCTCTCGACTCCTGGAGCGGAATTAACGGCGCCGCCTTTTGACATTTTTTGCCGGTGACATTCTCAGACTTTGCCCGAACGCGACGGACCTGCTTCAACTTAATCAGATCAAGCCGTGAGCTGAAAAGAGCAACCCTTTGTTCTCTGCACCCCATTGTAAGCGACAATATCAAGATCCATTGTGCAAAAGGAATTTCAGCTGTGCCTTCTTGGCTCTGGGGAAAATCAGAGTCCCTCTCTGGACTGAATACTCCCCTGGTCAGAACACCCTGTTTTGTCCAGATGATAAAGCCAGTCTTGAGCTAAGTTCGCTGCTTGGCACCCTGCCTCCCCTACCTGGGAGGAGGGTCCTGATCCCAACCCATGCTGGTTCCAGATTCTCCTGTTCCTGGGCCAGACAGCCTCCAACCTGCAGGGAGCTCTGCTCCCCGCTTCCATCCTCACCAGCTGCCCCTGCTTCACACCCTCTTCTTCCTCATTGCCATGGCTTGCTTGCTTGCCTGGCATTAGGAGCGTATACCCGAAGGAGCGTCTCCACCCCCATCGTTCTGCCCGGATGCTGAGGTTCAGCGCTGAGGGTCTTCTGGCAGTTCCCTCGCTGCAAGAAGCAAAACTACAGGGAACCAGGCAGAGGGCCTTCTCGGTGGTGGCACCCGCCCTGTGGAACGCCCTCCCATCAGTTGTCAAGGAAATAAACAACTACAGTGGTACCTCGGGTTACAGACACTTCAGGTTACAGACTCCGCTAACCCAGAAATAGTACCTTGGATTAAGAACTTTGCTTCAGGATGAGAACAGAAATTGCGTGGCGGTGGTGCGGTGGCAGCGTGAGGCCCCATTAGCTAAAGTGGTACCTCAGGTTAAGAACAGTTTCAGGTTAAGAACAGACCTCCGGAATGAATTAAGTTCTTAACCTAAGGTACCACTGTATCTGACTTTTAGAAGACATCTAAAGGCAGCCCTGTTTAGGGAAGCTTTTAATGTGTGACATTTTAATGTATTCTTAATCTTTGTTGGAATCCGCCCAGAGTGGCTGGGGAAACCCAGCCAGATGGCCGGGTACAAATATTATTATTATTATTATTATTATTATTATTATTGATTGCTCCTGTCTTCTGGGTTGACAAAGTCTGGTTCACAAGCCAAGTGAAGCTGCCACACCTGTCCCGCCACTAGGAACTCACCTTGTTCATTATGACGGTGGCGTTCAGTAAACTGGAGCCGTACATGTTTGGAAGAGCAATCACTTGCTTCAGCCGTTCTACAGAAATGCAAACGATTTGTTTAGCTGAAAGTTTAACGTCGCCTTTCAGGGCAAAGCTGTCCCAAGACACCCAACACCAGGTAAATAGCAAGGGGCAGTGGTGGCCACCAAGCTCAATGGCTTTAAAGGGGAATTAGACAAATTCATGGAAGAGGCCTATCGATGGCTTGGAAGGTGGTCAACTCTCCTTCCTTGGAGGTTTTTAAGCAGAGGTTGGATGGCCACCTGCCTGGGATTATTTAGCTGTGAATCTAAAAATAGGATCCCATGAGTCTAAAAGGTTCATGGGATCCTATTTTAAAGCCCATGGAAGTGCCCTTATTCCAAGCCAGGAGCCATTGGCCCATCTAGGTCCAGTATACCTGAAGCAGCGTCTCCACCCCCATCGTTCTACCGTGGACACTGAGGTCCAGCGCCGAGGGCCTTCTGGCGGTTCCCTCACTGTGAGAAGCCAAGTTACAGGGAACCAGGCAGAGGGCCTTCTCGGTGGTGGCGCCTACCTTGTGGAACGCCCTCCCACCAGATGTCAAAGAGAAGAACAACTACCAGACTTTTAGAAGACATCTGAAGGCAGCCCTGTTTAGGGAAGCTTTTAATGTTTAATAGACTATTGTATTTTAATATTCTGTTGGAAGCCGCGCAGAGTGGCTGGGGAAACCCAGCCAGATGGGCGGGGTAAAGGTAAAGGGGTAAAGGGACCCCTGACCGTTAGGTCCAGTCGCCGACGACTCTGGGGTTGTGGCGCTCATCTCGCTTTATTGGCCGAGGGAGCCGGCGTACAGCTTCCGGGTCATGTGGCCAGCATGACTAAGCCGCTACTGGCGAACCAGAGCAGCGCACGGAAACGCCGTTTACCTTTCCGCCAAAGTGGTACCTATTTATCTACTTGCACTTTGACGTGCTTTCGAACTGCTAGGTTGGCAGGAGCAGGGACCGAGCAATGGGAGCTCACTCCGTCGCGGGGATTCGAACCGCCGACCTTCTGATTGGCAAGCCCTAGGCTCAGTGGTTTAACCCACAGCGCCACCCACGTCCCGATGGGTGGGGTATAAATAATAAATTATTTATTATTATTATCTAGCTCTGTACTGTTGACACTGGCTGGCAGCATCTCTCCACAACTTCAGGCAAGAGATTCCAGGGGACTGAAAATGAGATCTTTTGCATGCAAAGCAGATGCTCCATCCCAAATAAGGTGGGAGGTGGCAGAGGAAGGGGGACCCCCCAGCAGAAGCGGGAGAGGAAAACTGTTGTGCACTTACTGTTGAGCTTTGACATCCCCAAGTTGCTGGCTGCCTTCAGCAGCGTCTCCAAAACAGTCACCTGTGTAGCACAAATACAGTGGGTTTGAAAAGTGGAGGAGTCAAACATGGGGGGGGCACTCTAGAAATGTAGGGAAGCAGGGAGCTTTTCAGCCCGAGAGCCACATTCCCTTCTTCTGGGGGCCACATGGCAGTGCTGGGCAGGGTCAGAGGCCAAGCAGGCCGTTAAACTAATGCAAACTTTATTTATTCTTTTATTTCATAAAATGCACCTGGAACAACAACGTACATGTGAAAGGGATTTTTTTTTATATAAGATGTAACTGAGGTGATGTTGGTAAGGTGAAAAAAGTAGCCAGCTGGAAGAATGGTTTGACGGCAAGTGAAGATTGTCAACTGGACTCTAAATGAGAAATGATTTGGCTATGCGAGGAAATGATGGTGGTCATATGTTTGGAACAGGAGCGGGAAACCTGATTTTTAGGAATTGTACAGTCATACCTCTGGCTGAAGTTGCTTCAGGTTGAGCATTTTCAGGTTGCGCTCTGTGGCGACCCGGAAGTAATGGAATGCGTTACTTCCGGGTTTCGCCGATCGCGCATGTGCAGATGCTCATAATGATGTCACACGCATGCGCAGAAGTGGGAAATCACAACCTGCACACGTGCAGATGCGCAGATGTGAGTTGCGTTCTGCTCTGGATGAGAAACGGGGCTCCGGAAGGGATCCCGTTCGTATCCAGAGGTACCACTGTATTAAATGAAATTAATTTGGTTTGATTTGTAATAATTTGGAAAAATAATTAAAAAAACATTGGGGGGAATCGTTTTCCCCAGACGTCTGCCCCTTCCTATCTATCTATCTATCTATCTATCTATCTATCTATCTATCATCTATCTATCTATCTATCTCTATCTCTATCGCTTTTGAGAACCCAGACGTATAGTTTTAAGCAGTGCTTTTTTTTCCTTAAAAAAATGTTTAGGGGTACTCTCATTTCCCTACTCATATTGAAATACTGCCCCTCAATGAGGCCAAACTTAGATTCACAAAAAGTTGAGGGGTATGCGTACCCCTGTGTCCCCCCAGGAAAAAAGCACTGGTTTTAAGGAGGGAAGAGTGTGTGTGCACTAGGGCGGTTCATAAAAAAACTTTTTTTTTTTAATGCCTGCTCCAAAGGTCTTCTCTTACTACACTTGGGATTATACGGCTATAACTGAAAATTTCATGCGTATCAGTTAATATATTGACCCTGCTCCACTGAATTGAAATTTCAGCCTTCACACGACATAGGAAAACAGCCAACTAAACAGCTATTTTCGTGGAGGACAGTCAAGATATTAACTGATATGCACAAAATTTCAGATACAGTGGTAACTCTGGTTGCGAACGGGATCCATTCCGGAGGCCATTTGCAACATGAAAAGAACGCAACCCACAGCGGCGCGTCTGCAGATGCACAGGTTGTGATTCGCTGCTTCTGCGCATGCGCATGACGTCATTTTGCGCTTCTGCGCATGCGCGAGTGGCAAAACCCGGAAGTAACCCTTTTTGGTACTTCCGGGTCACCGCGGGACGTATCCTGAAAGGACGTAACATGAAGCGGACGTAACATGAGGTATGACTGTATAGCTATATAATCCCTAGTGTAGTAAGATAAGACCTTTGGAGCACACATTTTTTTAAAAAAGTTTTTTACGAACCACCCTAATGTGCACAGCTAGGTGCATCTCACAACCCCAGTCTCCAGATTCCAAGCCCCACCCATTCCTTCATCCTCCTGAGCTCCTCCTCTATACTCACCCTGATCTCGCCAACCTTGGACCATTCCTTGGACAGGCGCAACCTGCAGGGTACACAGAAGGATGAGAAAGCACCAAGTCAGGGTTCATTTATGCCAGGGGTCCCCAAACTAAGGTCCGCGGGCCGGATAAGGCCTGGGGGATTCGTTTATGCGGCCCGCAGCAACCCCTGCCGCCCGCCGCCGCCGCCCACTCTTACCAGCGCTGCGCTGCACGGCTGCCCACTTCCGGTTCGGAGGAGCACCGGAAATAGCTTGCGCACATGCGCAAACATTATTTGTGCATGTGCAAAGCATTATTTCTGGTGCACATCTGGGTCGGAGGAGGCCCCTGCACATGCGCACAACCTGTTTCCGGTGCTCCTCTGACCCGGAAGTGAGCTGGAAATAGCATGTGCGCACGCATATGGGCACACACTCCCCCACCCTCCGGCCCGCCGCACGATCGGCGCTGGAGACACCGGCCCGAGGTACGGTAAGTTTGCTGACTCCTGTTTTATGCTCTTGGGAACACCTGCTTCTTCATTCCATTTCTTATATCCCACCTTTTCCCTCCGGTTAAGCTCAAGGGGGTATATGCATTGTTCTCATTTAATCTGCGTAACAACCCGGTGAGGTGGGTTAGGCTGACAGGCAGTGACTGGCCCCTCAGGTCACCCAATGAGCTTAATGGCCAAATCGGGATTTAAACTCCAGCCTCCTAGGTCCTTCCATCTCCACACAGCGATGCCAGGGACCGAACTCGGAGCTTTCTGCATGCAAAGCAGGTGGTGATGGGCAGGGGCAATTAATAATAATAATAATAATAATAATTGCACAGAGGCCTGCATTAAAGGTGAGAGAATAGCAGGCAGGAATCCTGCGCTAATCCTGGGGATTGGGGAAGGGGGGTGCGGAATAAGAGGAAGACCCTGGAGTCAGAGAAGAGGAGCAATACTCACTTTTTCAGGGCCACCAAAGCCCCGGCATAGCCAAGGGACTTCCCAGACTTCCCTGGCTTAAGAAGGGGTTGTCCCGTGAGGCTGGCATCCTGTAAGCCAAAGTGAGAGAATAGGCAGAAGAGGATGAGCAGAGTCTGGGTTGGGTGATGCACCTAAGGCCGTTCATGCTTCCTGTGAGCATCGGGGAATGGTATGTAGGAATGATCGCTGGGTTGTGGAGAATGTCGGGATCTCCGCTCGGCCAAGCTGATAAAGCTCATCTTCTGGAATCGCCCTCCTGACGAATAATTAACAACCTGAGCCTTTGATGAGGCTCCAAGGCACGTTCCCCCATTCAGCAGAGAATCCAAAACAGCACGCGGAAGGGATGAGATTTTATGGCTACATGCTATGCTTTATTTCTAAGCTACGCATACAGCAACGAAATATACATCCTCTCCCTGTGAGAGCAGAGAGCAACTGAACCAAAGGAACAAAGGAACAGAGAAACCAGTACGTCACATCCTTCTCCCTTCTCCCGTGAGACTTCCAATAGCCTGGACTGTCTCTGGAATGTAAACAGAGCCTTGTGACTCTAAGCAACAGAAACTAGCAGAGCACACTTCCGCCCGCGGACAGCCTCAGCTGTCTGCACGCGAGACCTTGGGGTGCGGAGCACACTCTCCCTCACAGATAAGGCCACAGCTGTCTGAACATCTTGCCCTCTGTCTAACCTATTGCGGTCTCAGTAGTCTGCTGTGTCCTGTCTGTGACTTTTGTCTCTGAGACCTTTGTCTCTTTCATCATACATTGTGCAAGGGGAAAATGACGCGGTGGAAACAGGTGCCTAAATAACCCCACGATCTCGGGACTGGAAGATGTGTAAAGGTCACAGCCCAAAATGTATCTGCCTGGGTTTGCATATTGTGCCAATAAAAGGAGCCTCAGCAGAGCTAGCTGGCAGCTTGCTTGTGCACAGCTCACCTGCATTATCAATTCCTGCCTCATGTCCTTCACTTCAGGTAGGGCAGAAGGTTGGGAGCCAAACAGCAGGTGGCGCTAAACCAACGATGGAGGAAGCCAGAGCCAACGGCAGCGAGGGCCGACTCGTTCGGGCTTCGTCCCCATCCACCCTGAGCCGGGGAGGGAAGAAGCCGACAGAGAAAGCCACTCTCTGGGCTAGCTTTAAGTAAGAAAGCAGGGGCAGCCTCCCCTTACAGCTCCCAAAAGCACACTTATAAAATTGCAGAGCTGGAAGGGACCCTAGGGTCATCTAGTCCAACCCCGTGCGACACAGGCACTGTTTTGCTGCGCTAGTAGCAGCAGAAGACCTGTTGAGGCACACCTCCCAACACACTCGTCCTTTAAGACGGTTCATATTGCAGCCTCTCACCACCACCTCATAGAAGGACAGGGATCTCCGTTCCTCCACCAACCCCACCTGTTAAGATGCTTACAATATTCAGCAGGAACACGGAGGCCAGGCTGGCGTTCGGGAGGATGACGAAGGCCTCTGCAGATGCAAAGAGCGTGACCTCCACTCCAGTGGGCTGGAAGCGTATCTCAGGTTCCTTTTGGGCAGCCAGATGGAACTCCATGGGCATATTTGGAAAGCGCTCGTTCAGCTGCGGAGGGGAGAAAAGAGAGGCGCTGCGATGGAACGGATGTTTCATTACGAATGGGTCAGTCGCACGGGGAGAGATCAATATTTCTGTGCCTGGGGGTGCTTCCACGTGATAATTATTATGGGATGGGTGCGTCTTGCTAAATGCAAGGTGGTTCTTTTAATGAGATTCAGTGAGGATGCCTGCTTGAGATCAAGAGGCAGGGAGTTCCAGGTGCCGCCACACTAAATGATCAAGTTCTTACAAATGTGGCATGGGTATTTTTGTGGCATCTACATTGGTGTCATCAAAAATATTCAGTCCTTTGAGATAGTTCTTGTGCAGCTGTGCTCCTTTGCATCCGTCTTGCCAAATGCAAGGTGGTTCTTTTAAAAATGGAGATTCAGAAGCAATGCAAAACACAAGTGAGCGGGAAGAAGAAGATTTTATTTCTAAACAGCAAGCAATACAGTGGTACCTCAGGTTAAGTACTTAATTCATTCCGGAGGTCCGTTCTTAACCTGAAACTGTTCTTAACCTGAAGCACCACTTTAGCTAATGGGGCCTCCTGCTGCTGCCGCACCGCCGGAGCACGATTTCTGTTCTCATCCTGAAGCAAAGTTCTTAACCCGAGGTACTGTTTCTGGGTTAGTGGAGTCTGTAACCTGAAGCATCTGTAACCTGAAGCGTCTGTAACCTGAAGCGTCTGTAACCTGAAGCGTATGTAACCCGAGGTACCACTGTATATACATACCAAGCGTAGCTAGCTAGTGCAGATTATTAATTAGCTAGCCCCCTCTTCCAATACAGCACGTTCCTCCAAACAATGTCTAACATCAAAGGAGGTCAGAAGGTGCCCTGCATCATCACTTCCTTCCAACAAATTAAAGGCTGTTCTCAGCCGTCAAAGAGCAGAACAAGAAATAGGGGAAGTAAACAGAGGCAGGAAGAAATGGCCATGTCAGATCACTAAACTCCTTGAAATACAAATATCTTCCGGAAAAGATTTCCCCTACAGCAGGGGTTATGCTAGAGAAATGCAACCTGTGCTGCTGTTGGGAATAATGCGACTCATGCAACACATTGGCGATTCATATACACAGAACAATAATTACTATACATTCTTTATCAACCTTTTGAGAAAAATACAAAACATAAACAAAGCCACAGAGACTTGCGAACTGCCCAACCTAAGATGAACTTATAATGTCTGGTTTCAATAGATTTTTCAAATGCTTAACTCGGTCTTTTAGATAAGTTCATGAAGATACCAACAGAAGGTAAGTTCGGTGTTATTCACAATACAGAGAGATGCTAGTGGAGTTGTAGATAGATGTTAATGAAGTTATAAGTTCATCTTAGATTGGGTAGTTCGCAAGTCTCTGTGGCTTTGTTTATGTTTTGTATTTTTCTCAGAAGGTTGATAAAGTATGTATAATTATTGTTCTGTGCATATTAATCGCCAACCTACAGCAGGGGTTGGCAAGGTTTACCTCGCCTGGGCTGGTTCACTCCTGCGGAGATCGCTCCATGGGTCTGTGCAGATGCGATTTCTGGCATCTGCATCTGCGCAGACACGATTTCCACCGCAGCAGAAGCGAGTCTCCGCTCCACGCTGCGCCACTTTAGCGCAGCGCATGGGGACTCGCGAGTGGTGGCTCAGTTCGGGGGCAGCTCATGGGCCATTTAAATGATGCCCGCGCACCTAGGACATGCAAATTTTATGCAGCATCAACTTTGGCTGTGATTCCTGTGCTGCAGGTGGTTTGACTAGGAGACCTTTGTGATCAGCTCTGCAATTCTATGATTCTACAACACAACAAACAAGACCTTTTTGTGGTCCATCGCTCCAAAAGAGAGAATATTTCACGAGAGAAAGGATTTCACAAGAGGTTTTCAGTTTTGCATTTGGCTCTTGTGACTGGGTGGGGCAATCACATTGCCCTCTGTTCCTCCCCACCCCAGGCAATTATTCCCCCACCTTCACAAGACTAAACTCACCTCTGGTACAAATATCCCCACATTCTTGGTGTTCAGACGCAAAGGCAAACTTGTGGGGACCTGAAACGACAACATGTGTGAATGTTCGATTGGGACAGCCCCAGTTTCCAGGCACTGGATTTGCTCTCCGTAATCTTTGGAGATCAGGGACCATCCACACTTCTTCTTGTCCTGGGCCTAGAAAGGTTTTCCGCTTGTCCTGTGTTGTCTAGGACCAGGTATGTGCGGTCTTGCCTTTGCCCCACAGTTCTCACTTAGATGAGCTGCTCTTTAGTGCTAAATTGGAACAAACAGCCATCCACGGTAAACCCAATTGCCATTTGTTCAGTGCTAAATATCACAATTCTCCAGGAGAAGTGGGGGGGGGCAATCGGAGGTGCAATGGCAGAGCTACATTTGGGGGGGCCCTTTGCAACCAGCAACAAGATCTGGGCAACCACTGCTACCGTTTTCTGTGGGGTTGTTCCATAACAGATCACATTTTTTTAAAAAAAATTAACTACACCACCTCTTATTTTGATTAAAATTGCTGCACCAGATTATCTCACATGCCATAGTCACTGGTGTGAATAAACATTTTCTATGCCTTATTAGTTTCGAATTACGGTTGTGGGAGTTAGAAGCTTCATTCGTTCCATAGTAGAGCCACACCTTCAGGGGTCTGAATCAGCCCTAAGAGCAGTTCAGGCAAGGATCGGCTTGCCGTACGTCGGGAAAATTCCTGACATGTCCTGGGTTTCGGGTGTAAGTATGGCGTCAGGGGGGAATTTATCTGAATCGGCAAAATGTCAGCGAAAACCGGGATGTATGGCAATGCGATGGAAAAAGCACCGGAAACAGCTCCAAAAGCTTAAAGTCACTATCTGGGGGGAATTTGGGCTTGTTCCCCCCAAAAAGCTGGTTTCCTAAAAAAAAAGCTCACAAATTTTTGCAGGAGTCAGGAATTTTACTTTTTGAAATATGGCAAATAAGTCAAGACCCATCAGACCCTGAGAAGTTGCCTCTTGCCAAGTCAGGACATCAGTCCATCTAGCTCAGAATTAATAATTATAATTAATTTACGGAGCGTTTCGTATGAAGGATCTCAAAGAGCTTTCACAATGCAATAAAATCATATATTAAACAATGCGAGAGAGTTTACTTTTACCTTTTACTCTGTATGTCTGTGTGTCTATATGTCTGAATGTCTACGCTCATACCAGGTCTCCAAGCAGAGGCGTAGGAAGGGGGGAAGGGGGGATGGCCCACCCCGAGTGTCATCCCTGAGGGGGGGTGACAAAATCCCCCTGGGCAGATTGCCACGCTGCCCCCCTGGGCGTAATCACCACACCAATCACCCCGAGTGCTGATTGCTGCACCAACCAAACCAGCTGATTGCTGTGCCAATCGCCTCCCTGGCACACTTAATAATAATAATAATTTTTATTTATACCCCGTCCTCCCCGGCCAGAGCCGGGCTCAGGGTGGCTAACACCAGTAAAATTACAATACAAACATTATAGGGGGGGAACCAATTTAAAATACAGGTTAAAAATACAATTTAAAATGCAGCCCCATTTTAATAGTAGCCCATAGGTCAAAACCAGAAGGGGAGGGAAACATAAGGGTCAGACTGAGTCCAAACCAAAGGCCAGGCGGAACAGCTCTGTCTTGTCTCTTGGGACAGAGCGTTCCACCAAGCTGGGGCCAGTACTGAAAAGGCCCTGGCCCAGGTTGAGACCAGTCTAACCACCTTGTGACCTGGGACCTCCAAAGTGTTGTCATTTGTGGACCTTAAGGTCCTCCACGGGGCATACCGGGAGAGGCGATCCCGTAGGTGCATGGGCCCTTACCGCTTGCTGCAGGCGGTGCCCCCCTGGGATGCTGGCCCCGCCCCCAGGTAGCTAGCCCCGCCCCAATGCACCGCTCTGGGTGCTGGAGCAGCTAGCTCCGCCTCCATCTCCAAGGATTTGGGCCAGGTCTTTTCAGCCTTGTAGCCTGTCAACTGGTGACGCCAGGATTCGAACCTGGGACCGTGTACCTGCATGATGGCCTTGACGGGCCCTGTGCACATCCACACCTCCTTACCATGGCATCTGTGTAGTTCACCCTGAGCGCCCCTGCAGTGTAGTACACAAAGGCAGCTGAGTTGGCGACGAGTTCAGAGATACCCAGGAGGATCATGGAGTCTGTCTGGTTGGGTAAGAGGAAGGGGGCAGGGTGGAAGGGGCCGTCGTGGAGGGTCTTTCCCACCGTGTAGAACTGACCCTAGGAAAGAAGAGGAGGGAAGATGGTCAAATTTTGTAGGGTGCTCCACAGTGAGATTGCCACCTGCCTCAGAAAGAAGGAAAAATTTGAAGGCAGATCCCAGGCAAGAAACCTGTTGGAAGTGTGGGGTGAAAGAAGGCAGTTTCTTCCACATGTGGTGGACATGTGACATAAAGGTAAAGGTAAAGGTAAAGGGACCCCTGACAGTTAAGTCCAGTCGTGGCCAACTCTGGGGTTGCGGCGCCCATTTCGCTTTACTGGCCGAGGGAGCCGATGTATAGCTTCCGGGTCATGTGGTCAGCGTGACTAAGCCGCTTTTGACAAACCAGAGCAGCGCATGGAAATGCAAACTGACAAAAACTCCTTAGATGTATTTGCTGCCTGCGTTGAAATGTAAGTAAAGCTTTTCGCTTTTACTGAAATGTGTGGTTTATTCTTAGCAACGGGGATAAAGAAGGGAAAGGGCCGCAGATCACAAACAGTGATAAAAGGTGTAACTGCCTAATTCCTAGCTTCCAGTAGGCTGCGAAAGTGCGAAAGTGTTTTTACTCTGCTAAAAGGACTTCACAGCCTGTTTACTCTCGTATTTCTCACACACAGGAGGTTAAAATTTAAATTTACCCATTGAATAGTCAATCCATCTCCATCAAACCACCTCTCCAGTCTCTCTTGTTTTGGACAACCGCTCTGGACAATTGGACAATTTGGACAATTGCTTCCCATTCCACCTTCGGAAGGCCGCACAGAAAGAGAAACAGCTATTCAATCTCACAGTGCCACAAAGCTCTGTGGGACCAGGCTTCACCAGAAGGCTGGGATGGAGAGGTTTGAAAAAAGGCTTCGCAGATCCACAGACAATCTGAAATGATCTGCTGGATCCCTGCTCCCTCCACCCCCGCAAGGTTATCATTACCTTCAGGTCCACATTGCATCGATCCACATCAATCACGGGCTTCTCCACCAAGGAATAGTCTATCCCTGCAATGGGGTCCAATTGGGCCGAGACTGGAAAAGGACACGGAGAAAGCCAATGTTTAGCAAGGTGCAGACCAGTGTGCCAAAAATTATTCCCAGAAGGGTGATTTTGAGCTGGTTGCTCCAGGCATACAAGGAGCTTACCATTCATGGTTTTCAGGATTTCTGCAATCTTGCCGATTCCTTTCTTGACCTCTGAACAGAGCTGGAAGGGGAGAAAGCCCATGACAATCAGAGGGATGGACAGTGAATGTCACCTGGAGTTCTCTTCCCATCACAAATGGAGAGGGGAAACTGGAACCAGCTGAAAGGGGGGACACTTAGGAAGGTAGGAAGTGAGTCTGACTATTGGTGTATCCAGCTGAATACGGTCTACACTAACTGGCAGCATCTCTCAATAATTTCAAACAGTTCGGGATCTCCCCCATCCCTACCCGGGGATGCACCAGGGATTGAACCTGTAGCCTTCTGCACTACCGCACTTCTGCTCTACCGCAGATGGTCTGGCCAAAGAAGTGCATACTCTAGTTTTAGAAGACATCTGAAGGCAGCCCTGTTTAGGGAAGCTTTTAATGTTTAATAGACTATTGTATTTTAATATTCTGTTGGAAGCAGCCCAGAGTGGCTGGGGAAACATAGCCAGATGGGCAGGGTATAAATAATAAATTATTATTATTATTATTGTCCTTCTCCTCCTCATCATCATCTCCTGCTTGGACTACTGCAATGCTCTCTATGTGGGGCTACCTATGAAGGTGACCCAGAAACTGCAACTAATCCAGAATGTGGCAGCCAGACTGGTGACTGGGAGTGGCCTCTGAGACCACATAACACCAGTCCTGAAAGACCTACATTGGCTCCCAGTACGTTTCCGAGCACAATTCAAAGCGTTGGTGCTGATCTTTAAAGCCCTAAATGGCCTCGGTCCAGTATACTTGAAGGAGCGTCTCCACCCCCATCGTTCAGCCCGGACACTGAGGTCCAGCTCCGAGGGCCTTCTGGCAGTTCACTCACTGCAAGAAATGAGGTTACAGGGAACCAGGCAGAGGGCCTTCTCAGTAGTGGTGCCTGCCCTGAGGAACACCTTCCCTTCAGATGTCAAGGAAATAAACAACCATATGACTTTTAGAAGACATCTGAAGGCAGCCCTGTTTAGGGAAGTTTTTAATGTTTTATGCTGTATTGTGTTTTTAATATTTTATTGGGAGCCTCCCAGATCGGTGGGTATAAATAATAAATATTTTATTATTATTATTATTATTATTATTATTATTATTATTATTATTATCCTCTGGGACTAGATGATTGCTCCACCACAAACATATGCATTTAATGCTGGAGGCAAAGGATCCTGTGGCCCTCCCAGATGTTGAGGGATTCCAACGCCGATCGGCCCCGGCAGCCAGCATGGCCAATGCTCAGGGATGATGGGCGTTGTAGTCCAACAGCCTCCACCGGGCTACAGTTTCCCTGTCCCTGATTTAATGTACCAGGGCTTCACACGCAGAGCCGGGCAGGGCCAGGCAGGGCAATGGAGACGGGCAGCAGTAATAAGGTCCAGCTTTAGTCCTTCACCTTAGAAGTTCAAAAATCTTACTTGTTGATTGACTTCTGACTTCAGCATGTCTCTGAGAGCAGATGCTGCAATGTTGTACAGCCAGCTGTGGGAGAAAGAAGGAGCAAATGTCAGTATGATGGCTAATCTAACACTGCTGTTCTTCCAGCCTAGAGGAGGGGTTTTGCAGTGGCCTCAAGCAAGAGAGATGCCCCTTCTCTGTGGGACATCGCCCAAACTTTGGGTTGGGAAGAGAGATTAGATTTGGGTTTATGAGCCTCATGCTCTACTACTGGCTGAGCTATTCCAACAACGGCAATGTGTTACTTTAAACCACATGAGGCCACTGTTTGTTTAGCAATATAGCCAGCACTTGTTTGTAGCCTCTCTTTTTAAGCTAACTCCACCCCTAAAAGCTGATCCATTTTCTCTCTTTTCATCTCTACTGATCCTGTAAATAGTTCCTGCCAAGATAACTCTGCTCCTGCATGAATAAAGCCTTTGAACTCCAGGAACTGTAAGTGATCATTTCAATCTAACTCACCCAAGTTACAAGCTCTTCTTTAAAAAATGGTCCATTAGCTCAGTCATGGCTCTCTAGGGTTTCAAGCAGGTGTCTATCCCACCAATACCTGAAGATGCTGGGGACTGAACCTGGGACCTTCTACACGCAAAGGAGGTGCTCTCTCACTGAGCTATAGTCCTTTGCCTTTCAGTTTCTAGGAAAATAAGGAATTAGAGGTACCTGGTTCCCCCGTAGAATTTCAATTTGAAGTCCCCCATGGCAGAACGGCAGCTTTCATACCACACCCGAAGCCGTCCTTCATCGCCCCTGTCCACTCCCATGACAGTAGAGATGGTGAGCCGGTCGATGCTGATGTCAACAGTCCCGCTGTCATCTCTGTAGGGGAAAGATGCAGTCACTGCATCGGAATGAGGCAAGGAGAGCAGTGATGGTGTACAGCCAGAACAATCTTCTTGAAGATGGGATGGAGAAACTGAAAGGGTGTCTGGGCTGGCTCTGTTCCCCAGGTAGATGGAGCACAATGCCCAGCCAGAAAGCCTGCAAGAGGGATGTGATGTGCGTCCTGATGTGAAGGAAAAGATGGCCGCCCCTTCCATTTCCAGATAGAGACGTTGACTGAACCAGCAACTGAATCTTTTTCAGCCAGGACAGCTGCAAACACACAAAAGTACACAGCTTCCCCCTAAAGAATCCTGGGAAATGTATTTTGCGCCTCATAGAGCTATAGTTCCCAGAACTAAGAAATAATACTAAGGATGAGAGTTACAAATTTAAGAATATTAAAAAATGATGAACACTGGTGGAGGGAAGTCACGTAAGTGTAGCATTTATGTTTGCATTTTTGTATTGTCGTTATTTGAGTTGGTGTAATTGTATGGTGTTGGAGGAGACTCTTCAGAGTCCCATGGACTGCAAGAAGATCAAACCTCTCCATTCTGAAGGAAATCAGCCCTGAGTGCTCACTGGAAGGACAGATCCTGAAGCTGAGGCTCCAAGACTTTGGCCACCTCATGAGAAGAGAAGACTCCCTGGAAAAGACCCTCATGTTGGGAAAGAGGGAGGGCACAAGGAGAAGGGGACGACAGAGGACGAGATGGTTGGATGGTGTTCTCGAAGCTACCAGCATGAGTTTGACCAAACTGCAGGAGGCAGTGGAAGACAGAGTGCCTGGCGTGCTCTGGTCCAGGGGGTCACAAAGAGTCGGACACAACTAAACAACAACAACAAAAAATGTGTGGTTGTATGTGCATTCTGGGACGCGGGTGGCGCTGTGGGTAAAAGCCTCAGCGCCTAGGGCTTGCCGATCGAAAGGTCGGCGGTTCGAATCCCCGCGGTGGGGTGCGCTCCCGTTGCTCGGTCCCAGCGCCTGCCAACCTAGCAGTTCGAAAGCACCCCCGGGTGCAAGTAGATAAATAGGGACCGCTTACTGGCAGGAAGGTAAACGGTGTTTCCGTGTGCTGCGCTGGCTCGCCAGATGCAGCTTTGTCACGCTGGCCACGTGACCCGGAAGTGTCTCCGGACAGCGCTGGCCCCCGGCCTCTTGAGTGAGATGGGCGCACAACCCCAGAGTCTGTCAAGACTGGCCCGTACGGGCAGAGGTACCTTTACCTTTTTATGTGCATTCTAAATAATAAAATATTTTAATTTAAAAAACAACAACAATACAGTTCCCAGAACCCATAAACTACAGTTCCCAGAATTGTTTGCAGGGAGGAGCTATGTGTTTTGAATGTACAGTGTGGATGAAGCCCCAACAGCGGCAGCAGGCGGCCAACGCTCTCCCTCCTCCCAGCTCCACTGCTTGGAAGTCGGAAGCAGCTCCCTGACAGCAGGCAGTTCTTACCCTAAAAAGGATGCCAACGTCCAGTTACCACTCATCAAGACGTTGGCATCTTGGACGGAAAGGTCGACACCCGTCCCAGCAGCAAACTCAGCGCCTGCCTGGTTCACCTGGAATTCGGTGACCTGGATCCTAAAAAGTAGAACAGAGAGACATGAAGAAGGGTCACCTTCCTGTTGAACATTTCCTTTTTTAAAAAATTTCAAATCCTTTATTATTTTATTCACGTAATATACATACTTTACAACAAACAACTCCAAAATAAACAGACAACTCCAAAATAAAATCATATGTAACAAAACCATAAGTCTCATGTTTTCATTTACACTGATCTCCTCGCCAATACCTTTACTTGATATTCCTTGCTGCTTTCTGTTTTCCTTATAGAATCTTTATAAAAATTTAAATCTCTGAAATCCTATACCAATCTTTAACAATTTCAATTACTCCCTTCACCTCCCTCCCCCACAGGTGCTCTGAGATTTAACCCAGGAGCTTCTGCATGTGACGCACATCCTTTACCCCAGAGGGACAGCCTTTCCCCATGGGAGTAAGGCACTGGGGTCAGGGGGTGTGTCTAGATGTCCTCTGGGTTCTCCTCCAGCCAACCCAACTCAGGATTTCTTGCTGTGTCTTCCTGTGAGCTGCCAGTGGCCAACCAAATCCAGCTCTGATAGGGAAAACGAGGAGGAGGAGTTGGGGGCAGTGGCGTAGCGTGGGGGTGCAGGGGGGGCTGGCCGCACCGGGCGCAACATCTGGGGTTAGGGCAAATCCACAGGTTAGGGGGCGCAAATCCACGGGTTAGGGGGCACAAATCCACGGGTTAGGGGGCGCAAATTACTTGCCTTGCCCCGGGTGCTGACAACCCACACTACGCCACTGCCCCCAACTCCTCCTCCTCGTTTTCCCTATCAGAGCCACTGGTTGGGGGTGAAGGTTGTATTTGGGGGCACTCTGGTGGTCCGGAGCCAAGAAGAGGGGAGGGAGGTGGGGAGCCACACACTCTCACTTACCCAGAAACAGAATACTGCACTTTCCCAGCAAGCGGAACAGTGTAAGAACCATTTATGTCGTGGAACGTTTCCTTCTTCAGCGCTGACTTCAACATCTCGATTCCAAGTTCCTTTACTGTAAAGAGGGGGAAAGGAGCAGAATCAGAGAGGTCTGCCTTCCTTGTCTCTCCCAATTAGCCTCCCTCTCCAGTGCTCAGTGTTGGGAAGAAGCCTCAGGACCCACCCTTCATGACATCACTAGGGGTCGCCCTTGGATCTCAGGTTTGGGCCCTGAGATCTGAGGTTCTCCTGGACCGACAGCCCTTGCCCCACAGGAAAATCCAATGGTTCCCAAACTTTTTGGGCCACCCCCCCAACCCCAGTGCCTTTTTTTCTGGGGGGACACATACCCATAGCTGTCAACGTTTCCCTTTTTTAAAGGGAAATTCCCTTATTCCGGATAGGATTCTTCGCAAGAAAAGGGAAAAGTTGGCAGCTATGCGCACACCCCTAAACATTTTGTGAATCGTTGTACTTTTGTCTGTTTCCTGTATTTATTTCCCCCGACTTGAACTATGAAATGGTGGTTTTCTTGAGTCAAAATGAGAGTACCTCTAAACATTTTATTTTTTTTAAAAGCACTGTCGTACCCAAGAAAAAACATTTTTGTTTCAGAATAGCAGTTTGCATAGCCCACTAAGGAAGATAATAGCGCAATAAACTTCAAAGCAGTAACGATTAATTGCACATTTATTCAATTAAAACTATTTAAGTTTAATTAATTCGACAGAATTGATGAACTTGATCCAGTGATAGCAGCTTTTAAAAGTCTGTCGTTTGCACCTCTGGCGCTCCACGCCTTGCCTCTGAGGGTCTCCCTAGGTAATCCTGCCCCCCAGGCAGGTAGGACCACCACCCCCTTTGGGAACCACTGCCTTAATGCAAACATCACATTTTAAAAATTACTTTCTGTACCAACAAGTTCTCAATTTGAGCATTTCTGGGAGACTCTCTCTCTCTCTCTTTTTAATCTCCCCCTTCCATTTTGTTCAAGGCCAAGTACGGAGATTGCCGTGAAGTCACGCACCATAATTCAGCCCCTTCTGGGTCACTTGGACCTTCAAGCCTCCATCCGCTCCCATGGCTGTCTGCACGCAAGAGGCCAAAAGAGCCATAGAAATTGGCCAGAGCATCCTCTGTAGGCCCAAGGTGCGTGCGAAGGTCATCTGCGTTACCTGGAGGAGAAAGGGGGGGAAAGGTACTTAAAACGATGCTGTATGAGAAATGCACCTGGTAGACGGAAAAATGTTTCTGAGGGTTAGTGATCTAACACGGAGCCCTTCCTGCCTCTGTTCCTTCCCCCTCCCTCGCTCTTGTTAAGTTCTTTGATGATGTGAGAACAGTCTTTAATGTCCTAACCAGCTGGGAGGAGGTGAAGGCTCCCCCCATGCCTTAATCACCTGTGGAGGATACAGTAGTTCTGGAAAGCTTCTTTGATGTTGGAAATTATTGTGGGAAAGTGAGTGGCTATCTATAAAATCGGGTGGTTTGGGCAGAGTTTTTCAGAAGCTCCTGCACGGACTGATAGGCCGCAGGGCTGTGCAAACTGAAGCTACCAGGTGGAGTCACTTTGGCGCTTCTTGAGGGCAGATAGAAGTGCATGCTTGGTATGTATATATTGCTTGCTGTTTTGAAATATAATAATAATAATAATAATAATAATAATAATAATAATAATAATAATAATTTTTTATTTGTACCCCGTCCATCTGGCTGGGTTTCCCCAGCCACTCTGGGCGGCTTCCATAGAAACCAAAAAACACTAAAATATCATACATTAAAAACTTCCCTGAACAGGGCTGCCTCAAGATGTCTTCTGAATGTCAGGTAGTTGTTTATCGTTTTGACATCTGATGGGAGGGCGTTCCACAGGGCGGGCGCCACTACCAAGAAGGCCCTCTGCCTGGTTCCCTGTAGCTTTGCTTCTCGCAATGAGGGAACTGCTAGAAGGCCCTCGGCGCTGGACCTCAGCGTCCGGGCAGAATGATGGGGGTGGAGACGCTCCTTCAGGTATACTGGGCCAAGGCCGTTTAGGGCTTTAAAGGTCAACACCAGCACTTTGAATTGTGCTCGGAAACGTACTGGGAGCCAATGTAGGTCTTTCAAGACCGGTGTTATGTGGTCTCGGCGGCCGCCCCCAGTCACCAGTCTAGCTGCCGCATTCTGGATTAGCTGTAGTTTCCAAGTCACTCCGAGAATCTTCTTCTTCCCACTCACTTGTGTTTTGCATTGCTTCTGAATCTCCATTTTTAAAAGAACCACCTTGCATTTGGCAAGACGGTTGCAAAGGAGCACAGCTGCACAAGAACTATCTCAAAGTACTGAATATTTTTGATGACACCAACGTAGATGCTGCAAAAACACCCGTTCCACATGTGTAAGAACTTGATATTTAGTGTGGCGGCACCTGGAACTCCCTGCCTCTTGATCTCAAGCAGGCATCCTCACTGTATTATTTTCAGCCTCTTTCTCCATGTCTGGGACGGCTTACCTAAACAAATATGTTTTTAGCAGGCAGCAAAAGAGTACAGTGAAGGCACCTGATTGAGGTCAACAGGCAGGGAGTTCCAAAGCGCAGCTGCCAGAATATCAAGTTCTTACAAACACAGAACTGGGCCAATTCCACATATTAAAGAAGTTCAGAGTTATGGTAAGGTGATCTCACAGGTAAATTGGTCCCAGACTTTATACTAATGGCAACTCTTTGAATGTGGCTCAATAGCAAATCAGCAACCAGCATAGGTCTCTAAGCACAGGTGCAATATGTGTTATATGAAACACGGGTATTATGGTGTTACAGATTTTGGGGGGACTCCCCCTAAACCCTAGAAATTAATAAATGGTAGGATTTTGCATCAACAGAAGTCTAGTGTCCAGAAGGTGATTCGGAAACTACAGCTAATCCAGAATGCGGCAGCTAGACTGGTGACTGGGGGCGGCCGCCGAGACCACATAACACCAGTCCTGAAAGACCTAATTGGCTCCCAGTACGTTTCCGAGCACAATTCAAAGTGCTGGTGTTGAACTTTAAAGCCCTAAACGGCCTCGGTCCCAGTATACCTGAAGGAGCGTCTCCACCCCCATCATTCTGCCCGGACGCTGAGGTCCAGCGCCGAGGGCCTTCTGGCAGTTCCCTCATTGCGAGAAGCAAAGCTACAGGAAACCAGGCGGAGGGCCTTCTCGGTAGTGGCGCCCACCCTGTGGAATGCCCTCCCATCAGATGTCAAAGTGATAAACAACTACCTGACATTCAGAAGACATCTTAAGGCAGCCCTGTTCAGGGAGTTTTTTAATGTGTGATATTTTATTGTATTTTGGTTTCTATGGAAGCCGCCCAGAGTGGCTGGGGAAACCCAGCCAGATGGGCGGGGTACAAATAATAAATTATTATTATTATATTATTAATATTATTATTATTATTATTATTATTATTATTATTATTATTATTATTTATTATATCAAAGGAAGTAATAGTACCACTCTATTCTGCCTTTAGTGATGTATGGAAGTGAGAGCTGGACCGTAAAGAAGGCTGATCGCCGAAGAATTGATGCTTTTGAATTCTGGTGCTGGAGGAGACTCTTGAGAGTCCCATGGACTGCAAGAAGATCAAACCTCTCCATTCTTAAGGAAATCAGCCCTGTGTGCTCACTGGAAGGACAGATCCTGAAGCTGAGGCTCCAAGACTTTGGCCACCTCATGAGAAGAGAAGACTCCCTGGAAAAGACCCTGATGTTGGGAAAGATGGAGGGCACAAGGAGAAGGGGACGACAGAGGACAAGATGGTTGGATAGTGTCTTCGAAGCTACCAGCATGAGTTTGACCAAACTGCGGGAGGCAGTGGAAGACAGAAGTGCCTGGCGTGCTCTGGTCCATGGGGTCACGAAGAGTTGGACACAACTAAACGACTAAACAACAACAATTCTGCCTTAGTCAGACCACACCTGGAGTCCTGTGTCCAATTCTCGGCACCACAATTTAAGAAGGATGTTGACAAGGTGGGAGGTGTGCAAAGGAGAGCAACCAAGATGGTCAAGGGTCTGGAAACTAAGCCTTACGAGAAATGGTTGAGGGAGCTGGGTATGTTTAGCCTGGAAAGTTCAGGTAAAGCAAAGAGTTAAGGTTACCTAGGGACGCGGGTGGCGCTGTGGGTAAAAGCCTCAGCGCCTAGGGCTTGCCGATCGAAAGGTCGGCGGTTCGAATCCCCGCGGCAGGGTGCGCTCCTGTTGCTCGGTCCCAGCGCCTGCCAACCTAGCAGTTCGAAAGCACCCCCGGGTGCAAGTAGATAAATAGGGACCGCTTACAAGCGGGAAGGTAAACGGCGTTTCCGTGTGCGGCTCTGGCTCGCCAGAGCAGCGATGTCACGCTGGCCACGTGACCCGGAAGTGTCTCCGGACAGCGCTGGCCCCCGGCCTCTTGAGTGAGATGGGCACACAACCCTAGAGTCTGGCAAGACTGGCCCGTACGGGCAGGGGTACCTTTACCTTTACTTATCACTACCCTAAGGAGTCTCAAAGTGGCTAACATTCTCCTTTCCCTTCCTCCCCCACAATAAACACTGTGAGGTGAGTAGGGCTAAGAGACTTCAGAGAAGTGTGACTAGCCCAAGGTCACCCAGCAGCTGCATGTGGAGGAGCGGGGAATCGAACCTGGATCCCCAGATTACCAGTCTACCACTCTTAACCACTACACCACACTGGCTCTCTGCTGGTTATGGTTATGAGGCTGGTTATCCCAGAGAGGAAAAAGGGGAATGTAAATGCAATAAAAAGGGAAGCTGAAGGAGAGAGGAGGGAACCTGAGAACAAGTGCTTCAGCAGCACTTTGAACCTTAAATGTTGCTCTTGGCAGAGCAAGGCAAGCACTTTTAACTAGTGATTCTTCAAGTGAATCCTCTCCCTAATTTTTGATACTGTGCATATAAGAGGGTTTGTGGGTGAGGGTGTCTCTCAGTCTGTTCATTCAGCATATATCTATGTGAAGAGAGACAAAGACATGTGTTCTGTATAAATGTGCGTTTATGTGTGTATGTGAAAGAGATATGTTCTGTATGCATATCTGTATATATGCATACATGAAAGAGAGGTGCATGTATGGTCTGTCTGTGGGTGTTGTGTGAGAGAAAGATGTATGTGTATGTAGTTTGTTTATTTCACATTGGAACGATAGAGTGCAAGTCTCAGTAAATCCATAAACTCTGTTGGGGGAAGTTTAAGGGTAGGGAGTAGACAAATTAGCTGGGGAAGGATTATTGTCAGGTTTTTCCCCTCTCAAGATTGTATGACTAATTAGCTTTAGTTAAATTATGAGGGATGTGATTATTTATTACATCTTAAAACGGTATCTATAAATAATATTTGTAGGAACTGTACAGTATTAATTATAGTTATACACCATTGTACTGTATATTGTTGTATATTATAATAATTACTTGCATATTTTTCTTGAAAGAGAGGGGGACGTCGTGTGTGAGAGTTGGACAGACATACAGAGATTGGGTGGTGTGTACATATGTGGGATGCATAAACATGTGTGTGTACATTTCTGTAGTTGCACTCTCTTTGTCTACACCTAGAAGAAGAGGAAGAAGAGTTTGGATTTGTTATCCCGCCTTTCACTCTCTTTTTAAGGAGTCTCAAAGCGGCTAACATTCTCCTTTCCCTTCCTCCCCCACAACAAACACTCTGTGAGGTGAGTGGGGCTGAGAGACTTCAAAGAAGTGTGACTAGCCCAAGGTCACCCAACAGCTGCATGTGGAAGAGCGGAGACGCGAACCCGGTTGTGATGATTTGCTATGAGGTAGGCGAAAAACCAAGTGGCTGGTGCCAATTTGCCAAATGGAAAATTAATCCTACCAGGCCCCTTAACGGCAACCAACTGAGGTCCATAGCAAGGTCAAAGACGAAAACCTTAAAGGGCAGGAGGGTGGGAAACTGGAGCCGCTGGAAGCGGCAAAGAGGGAGATCCCGGGCCGCCCCTGCGTTAAATGGAGCAGGCCACGCCCTCAGGCCAGCCGATTGGCTGGCCAGGGGGTGACCCGATCAGGGATTCCCTCAATTGCACGGAGGCTGAGAGCCAGCCCCTGCACGCATGGTGGGAGGGTGAAGCCCGCAACCCCACCTCCTTTCTACGTCAGAAGTGGCTTTGCAAAATAGCCTGGTTCCAAACAGGGTTGGAAAAGATGTCTGAGTGAAAC